TTTCGTACCTACATCCAACTCATCTTCAGGAACCAAAAGAGTAAGTGCTATTATTATTATTATTATTATTATTATTATTATTATTATTTCCCTTCATAATCCCTTTGCGTTGTCAATCCCTCCTCTTCCTTGATTGGTTACAGTGGATTTGTTTCTGACATATTGCTGCAGAACACACACAGTTGAGGTTGATCGTGATATTCTCACTGGCAACAAGCTCATCAATGAGTATGAAATCCTTGATGAGCTAGGTCGAGGTGAACATGGGAAAGTAAAACTCGGTCGACATCTGAGAACCGGAAAGAAAGTAGCCATCAAAATCGTGCAAAGATATTCGAAACGTCGTCGATTAGGAAAACTTGGTAATCCAGAGGATAAGGTGAAAAAAGAGGTTGCCATACTTAAAAAGGCTAGACATGAGAATGTCGTTAGTCTGCTTGAGGTTATCGACGACCCTAATCAACAGAAGGTCTATATTGTGTTGGAGTATGTGGAGAATGGCGAGATAGTATGGCGCAAAAAAGGGAACAAGGATATTGTAGCCGTGGATAAACTCAGGCTCGAACAAGAGAAGCAAGGAATTCCGGAATCTCCATCTTTTGTCGAGGAGACCCTCAGACGGTTCAGGTTACAGCGAGGGGCATTGGGCAAGAAGAGGCGGTCGATAGCACCACAGTTCTCGCGAGTTCAGGCATGGAGTTTGGAACATGGTGCAGTGTCAGACGATGAAACGGGCCCTGAACCCCCGCCTCCTATCCAGGACGACTCTGAATCCCACCCTCTCCCCTCCCAGCCTACAGCCTCTGCAGATGAGCCAGATGATAACCCGCACGATTTGGGCTTAGCTGCACTGGAAGGAAGCATGTATGGCCCATATGTACCCAAGGTTTCTCTTTTACGCCGCCAAAGCACTGTTTCGAGTCATTTCACCTCTCACTCCTCTGAACCGGAGTTTCTGGATGATGACGATGATATGTCGTATGTCCCTTGTTTGACACTTTCCGAAGCTCGACGCGCATTCCGAGATTCCGTGCTTGGCCTTGAGTATCTTCATTATCAGGGCATTATACATCGCGATATTAAGCCTGCAAACCTTCTTGTTACAAGAAGTCGCCGCGTAAAAATATCTGACTTCGGGGTGTCCTACCTAGGGCGGCCTATCCGGGATGAAGATGAGGAGCAAGTCGCGGAGACGGATGCTACTGAACTAGACGACGCTCGTGAGCTTTCAAAGACTGTTGGAACTCCAGCCTTTTATGCTCCAGAACTGTGTTATACGGGCTCAGAGTTTGAGAACCAAATTGGAAAAGTCCCAAAGATCACGGGCGCAATCGATGTTTGGTCGCTAGGGGTTACATTGTATGGCATGATATTTGGACGTCTACCATTCGTTAGTAACGATGAATATAGCTTGTTTCAGAATATCGTGAAAAGCGAAGTGTTTATTCCAAGGAAACGTCTAAAAGCAGTGGAAGTGGAAGCATCCGCAAGCCAGTCATTTGACCCTCAGGTGGTGATGAACAGTAACAAGCGATTGGACGATGAGCTTGCCTATGAAGATATCGATGACGATTTATGTGATCTCATGAGACGTTTGCTCACTAAGGATCCTTCGAAACGAATCACTTTGAAAGAGATTAAGCATCACCCGTGGGTACTTAGCGATATTTCTGACAAGGAGCATTGGATTGAAACGACGGATCCTGGCTATCAAAGCAAGGGCAAGAGGATCGAGGTTTCAAACGAAGAAGTCACCAAGGCAGTCACGAAAATGCCTTTTATCGAGCGAGTACGTTCAAATGTGGCAAAATGGGGTGGTACTATTTTTGGTCGGTCGAAAGATGGACGGAAGAGAGCAGCCAGTTCAGCAACTTCTGACCCGATGTATTCGACTTCGTCTTCGAGTAGTGTCATGCTTGGCAAGGATACTATTGGGGATCACAGAAAGAAAAGCTTGAGGGACGATGAAGAAATTGCCCGGTCAACTAGCAGACCCACCAGAGATGGCGAACACCCACTTTCACATAGCGTTCTCGCAAGCCCCGTTTCGACTGACGGTTCCAGTTTTTCTAGAAGGAATAGCAACTCCAGTTCAACATCACACCCGAAGGACCTCCTCACTCAAGACCAAGAACAACGTCCCGACATTCCAGAACGAACATCCTCGACATTTTCAAGTTCCGGTTCCACTAAAACAATTAGGCCATTGAATACAGGTGTAGCTCAATCCCGGCCTCGAACAAGCACCACAACCTCCGAACCACTAGCCTCATCCAGTGTCGGTGGTATTTTTGGAGGTACCGGACGTCGTATATCAAGTGGTTTTCAGAGCCGCGATTGGCGAAGGGAACGATCTCAATCTACAGACCGGGCATCTATAGATGGAGATGGGCATTCTGATCCCGTGGTTGCTGTTAGTACAGCATCAGCTACGGGTCACGTTCAATCCCCCGACTTATTGCGAGAGACATCTTCAGCGTCGTTAGCCTCGTCGATCGGTCATGATGGTATAGTTGGAAGGAGCGCATCCCACTATCGATCCCGCTCTCACCAACTGGCCCATGATCCGTCTCCTGAATCGTTCAATGTTGCCCGTGAGACACTTCTACGACAACGAATGCAGCAACAAGATCAAAGCCATCATCCGCAGACAGTTGCTTCGCAGCACAGGGATTTGGCTGGCCAGAACCCGCAACCTCAGGGTGGAGCAATGTCCTCAATAGATACTGAATGGCATCGGATAGCAAGAGACCCGCCTCAGCCATACAAGCATGCCGTTGGAGAACCGCTTACGTCCCCTCAGTCTGCAGTGACCATGTCCTCATCCTCCGCTGATGACTTTAACAGTGGGATGTCCCACTCCGCTTCTCACCCCAGCATTCCATCTGTGATATCGGGTGCATCATCCCTCTCAGCGGAAGGGTTCCACAGTCACAAAGTAGAACGGGAAAAGGAGTTAGATGGTCCAGGTCAGGTGCCTCCAGAGCTTCGTACAGGGGACACTGTTACAGTTCGGAATACAGTGTCTGACAAACACCACGAGGATGAGTCCAGATATGACTGTGATGATGAGGATGAGGATGAGAATGATGAATCGGAGGATGAAGGCATTGTGATTGGGAAGCAGAGTTCATATCAGGAGGTTGAAAGGTCGAACCGAATGGCTTGAAAGGAATGAAAGAAGAACCCACGGGAAAAGGATATGGATAACTTTTTTTATATTATCAGCCCTTGGATAGACATGGTTATATCCCCCTTTTTGTTCTTGGTTTGGATTTTCCTAATGTATTTTTTCTTTTTTGCATGTTTGGGAAATGCATTGGGGGACAGATAGGGGCATGCATATATCATTGGGGGACGTTTGATCCTTTCTTTCTGCCTTATATTATGATTATCGGTTTTATAACAGACTCCGAAAACCCTCCTCCTATTCTAAAGAATAAGAAGGCCCTTACTTTAATTTCCCCTCCACCCAACACACTTACGCTTCGAATATCTCCTTCCAGGCGTATCATCATTAGTCATTCTTACTAATAATACCGTTGCTCCTATCTCCACCTAATCCTTGCTGGAAACTAGAATATCCCCATGCATTTCTCTCTGCCCCTTACTCTTTCGATGAGGCCGAATAGAAATGGCAACAGACGACCATTTGTTACAAAAAAGAAGAAATGGGATGCTAAACATTCACTTCTTTCACTGCATTTCTGCTCTCTCCTCTCATACTTTTTGCTCTTAAATTTCCTTTTTTCCCCGTTTTGCATAATAACACTTCTGAGAGAGGTGGGAAAAGGGGTTGGGCTCCCATGCTCTTTTTGTTACATATGAATTTATACCTCACCTTCTATTCTATCTTTACATATTCTGACATCTATATTCCTTTTATGAATGAGTACGATTTGTATATGTCTATACGATGTTCCTGCTCCGATCTATTTTTGGTTTCTTCGTATTAAAAATCTTCGGTGTCCTGGATTATTTCGTATGTATGTGGCTTATGGTTTAAATGAATAGTTACTAGTCACGTCATATCATCACGCATGAAGTGTCAGTCCCTTAACTCAACACTTTACAGTGAGATGTGCGATCAACACCCCTCAACACAGAAACGTCTCTATTCTCACTCCATCTTTTCTAAAAGTCAATGCCGCCGCAACCAATGCATCCGTCCCAGCGAGCATAATCGGCTGCACAACAGGAGGGCAAAAAAGGAGAACGATTCACTTCACATCCCTCGCAACCGTCTCATTCCTCTCCGCCTCATCCCACACCTGCGGATCCACACCCCCCCAAAAAACCAGAAAAAACTTGGTTTCCCAACTGCCGCACCCAGACACCCATATCCTCCAAAGCATTGCTGCAAGGCCCATTAGGGAGGAATCTATATAACCCCGTTTACGGTTTGAGCAGCATTGAACTCTTGGTGGAGAGTTCAGGGTTGGAGTGTGGGTTCTTAATAGAGGTCCTCGTAAGGGATTATTGGGGAAATTTCGTCCGGGGTGAACGCAGCGGTAACTAGCCAGCGTGATAGTTGTATACGCAATATCATATGTGGCTGATTGTTGAATGATTGACATCCAGCTTCATACATCTATTTATTTAACCGGTAGAGAGACATCCTTGGGAATTAATTAATAGCTGTTTTATCTCGCAAGTGTTCCTCCAATTTCCCCACACTTCACATGCAGGGTCGTCAAATATTCCTACATGCTGATGGAGAAATGTTCTGCTGTGCGCCGCTATGCGATGTGCCTCCTGATTTATCATCCCCTTGGAGAGAGAAGAAGTGTTTTCCTCAACCATGTGGATATAACTATGAATGAGCTTCGCGCTCTTAAAACCTCCAAGATCTGGCATGGTTGGTTCCACAGACTACAGCGTTTTGGACGATGAGCGTCTTCATGACTCTGCCTGTGCGCAATGATGGATGTCGTGAGGTGCTGCCTTTGCTTCGCGTTTCCCTACTATTATTCAGAACTACAGTTACTTACTCTTGTTCGCTAGATTCGTTCTCGATCTGCTCCTTCTCTGGATCTTCCTCCCTCCTCACGCCAATGGCGGCCCCATTTCATAACCCCCCAGAGCAGAGGGCTTGAGATTACCCAGGTCGACGCAACAATTGTCCCTGTCCAGCCAATTCGGAGCTTAGTGATGAGTGGCACGGCTGCCGCTGCTGCGCCTGCACCGAAAAAGCATCTAAAGAGATTACTTGCGGCCGCTGCTGTTGCCGGTTGTTTCATGTGGCAATCAATAATAAGAGTGAATACTGATCCAAATGCGCCAGAAATGGTGCATGCAGTAAAGAACAACAGGATCAGGGGCCCAGCAAGATTAGTCTTGTAAGTCATAACCCAGCTGTAAGTTGTTATGCATATACAAGATAAATATACCAGCGGTAATGCAATCTGCAGTCTTGCCGCCTCGAGAGGGAAACCCGAGAGCTGCGGTTGACGGTTTCTAATAATTCTGATGCCAAGGCGACTGCAATGACGACGGAAATTCCAATCTGCCAGAGTAGCAACCGCCCAGCGAGACGCCAAGCTGCCGAATCCATACGGGAGAAAACACAGGCCAATTTGGAGAGAATTGAATCCATACTTCCTTTCCAGTTGGGAGGGCAGGCTACAGAGTACAAAGACATATCCAGCAAATAATAACGCGCTAAAAAAAAGAAGTATAGCGGTTTCTTTCTCCATTGCGATCTTGATGGTCTCCGCGGGATTTGGACGGCGGTTATGTGTTGATACAGTTCGATCTTCGCTAAAAGGGATTCTCCGCTGCCGCTTCTGAGATATCATATCCATGATACATTCATTCCATATCTGCGGCTGACGAGCTCCATTTCCCACCACGCTGCGGCTTGTTTCGGGGAGGGAAAAGACGACAAGCAAAGCCATAAGGCCCGAATAGGTGGTAAGAAACCAGAAAATAGACCGCCAGCCGAAAAAATGGTTTAGAATCCCGCCAATAAGAGGACCAAGTGCTTGACCAAGGGTCATGCCCAAAGATGAATAAGCAGTATACTTACCGCGCTCGCTTCTGGTGACAACGTCGGCAGTAACAGCAGTGCTAATTATTATTGTCCCACTGCTCCCAGAACCCTGGAGACAGCGGAGAGCTATCAAAAAAATGTAGCTGTCCTGTACAGCTAGGCCTATGTTCGCGCCAAGTGAAACAATAAAACAGATCAAGAGGGCCGGCCGTCGACCATTCTTATCCGAGTAAACCCCGATTATAGAAGGTACCAAAGCTTGAAATATCTACGAGAAAACTTCAGTGAATGGGTGATTTAAAGAACACAACACTCAAACAAAGTACTCACCATGTATGCTGTAATACTCAGATTAATCTTGGCCGTGGAAACCATCAGATCCTTCGATAGGGAATTCAGAATTGATAAATAAATGCTGGCGGATACGGGGGAGAGGAAAGCACCAAATGACGAGATGATAATCGTGCATATTTTCTCCTTCTCTGTCAAGACGGTATATGGATGTTCGCTTGACTGGCGGTTTGGCACCGTTGAATCCGTTGTCTCGGCGTTGTGAGTTTCTTCCTGCCTGAGGCCAAGGCTCGAAGAGTCCCCCGCTGTATCGTTGACAGCATAATTGCCTTGACTCTGCTTCTCGGTATCCATGTATATCCTAGTATATCTGTTTTGGCTAGAGATTTATTGTCAAATGCGTGGCTTTCTATGTATTCTACCAGAGAGTAGCTCGACCTCAAATCACCAGTGCCGATTATTGAATAGAAAAGAAAGAGAGGCGCAAACCTTCCTTACCTCAAATCCCTTTCCTATCCAACTTTCAGAATTCCAATCTCCATTATTTCATCCTGATCCAACGCCAGAGCAGTGCGTCTCGCTCGTAGGAAATAATAAGATAACAACACCAACCTTCGTTGTAGACATGGATGGGGAAAATTTATGTTTATAAAATCCGACCTGTCAAATCCCCGAAACCTAGGCAATTTTCAGCCAGTCATGGCAATGATTATTCGGGGGCTAGTCTTGTATATGTGCCTATCATCTATGTAGGCCACATTGTGTAACAAGACAATATTGTAATTCAGCCGTGGATCGCCAACAGGGATTTGGGCGATGCTCTCGGATCGCCATGTATACACATTTCCATCTGGATCAAGACTGCATCATGGATATGAGCGAAGTGTGTGTGGTCCCTGGTGGTCCGCGTCATTCGAATTGTTGTTGAACCAATTATCTGACATATTTTCTGTGTTGGCAATGAGATAGAAATAAGTCTCAATTTTGAGATCAAATCAATGACAGAAGCTAGACACTGAGGGTTAGACGATCCATTTCAGAACTGATATTGATCAAATCGAGGAAGAGATCTACAGTTGCTTCGTATGTCCGGAGTATATTTATACTTTCAATAACAACCATATTTTTAACTAAATTCCCCACAAGTTCAAATTATTTTTGAATATATTCACTATTTAACTTCGACCCTCTGCTTCCTCAACAAGTATGTATTCTATAGATTCTCTCTGCAGCTTGGTGGCTACATAAGACCCCGTGCTATATCTGCTAGGTACACATGTTTGTTTATCTCAAAGATCATATATAATTTATGGACTCACGACTCATGTATGGCAAAGACTTTGCTTTCCAAGCAGTATTCTCGCAATTTCCGTGCTGAGGTGTGGTTCCTTATCTTCACGGAGTATAACCACTGTGATTTCGAGTGCATAAAAGCCCCAATTGCACCCTTCTTCATGGGTGGTTTTCAGCTCAAAGGAAAAAAGAACTGAGTGGAGGCATGGTACTGTCGATCGGTGGTGAGGAGAATCGCGAGGCGTCAACACGAGGAACTGACTAACAACCAGTTTGGAATATTTGTAATATTGAATATAAATGTCTAATAATTTGACTTAATTCTTATTTATTTTCTCTTTCAGCCAAAGATCATTGGCTAAGTTAGCTGTCTAGTCTAACTACAGGTGCGCTTTACAAGCCGGAATTGAGATAAAAGAAACGCGAAAAGAGAGTAGTTACGCAACCTCTGGTTAACAGATCTCACTCTGGGAAACCCGCCAATTGATTGTTAAATCTTCATTTAAAGTGTCTAAAATTGAGAAAGTTATTCAACAGGTCTACTAGATCTTTCTCGTTATTATAGGTGAACAGCCGTCAAAGGAAGTCCAAACGGCGACATCAAAGCAGGCCATTGGGCAACCCTATACACACCTAAAAAAACCTGATATACAGAAACTCGCATCCAGTTGACGGTCTGATTTCAGTGATTAGGTACTCGTGCCACGCCAACACCCCTCAACCACCTTATATGGTGTTGGCGTGGCACGAGTAGTGAAACCCTAACAATATTAGCCGACCGAGCGCGAGAAGGGCAGTTGGCTCAATGAACTCCATTGTAAATAATGGGGCGAACTGTCGTGGATATGCTAATCAGATCTGCGTGTCCAGCGCAGACTCAAAAATCGTCTCGATGGCTGTCAGTGAGCTGGGAAGGCTAAAATGGGGGCCCCTGAGCTACACGAATATCCCTGAAATGTGCTGGAAAGTATATCTCTGCATACTTAAGAGTTGAGAAGTACGAAGTACGTCTGTATCCAGTCTCCAATTACGACCGGTTTACGAACCCGCCTTCCAGCACTTCAATCCTCGCTCGCGGTGGTCAACATGGACCAGCCCCGTCGATTCTACTTACTGACCTCCCCGAGAACCGGATCAAACCTCCTCCTAAAGATTCTGGCATTGGAGGACCAACCTGACGTTTATTTCCGCAAAAATGGAGGCTACTTCTTCATGCCATTAGTCTCGCTCAGGGCAGAGCTCCGCTGTTCTAATAAACATGTCGAAAAGTTGAGCACGGAGCAAAAGGAAAAGTTGGAAGACTGCACGAAGAGTTGTCTCATCGAACTTTATCGACATATCGAGACTGCAGAATCAAAAGGAAAACTTGTTGTCATTAAAGAGCATACCAATTTTCTGACCAACCCTGTTGTCAAGACGCAATTTTTGTATGGAGATGATCAGCCCGCCAGAGCAATGTCTTCGATGCGGGGGGACCGTTCAATCCACAACGAAACAATTCTCTCTGATGAATTCCTAAAGACGTGGTGTCCGGCATTCCTCATCAGGCATCCAGCTCTATCCTTCCCTTCGTTTTACCGTGCATCCATAAGGGCGGACGGTGAGGGGTTCACCAAGTCAATTCCCGGAAGACGCGGCCTCCAGATGGTGATGACCATGAGATGGACACGCAAGCTATATGACTTTTATGCTGAACACTTCAACAAATTCAAATCCCAGTCTGAACCAGCTGACTGGCCGATAGTGCTAGACGCAGACGACGTCATGAGCGAACCTGCGGTCCTTGTCAAGTTCTGCAATATTATCGGCTTAGACAGTAACAAGCTGCGCTATCATTGGGAACCTGCGAAAGAAACAAATCCGCCTCGACTTCCCTGGTTCCAGGCATTTAGAACGACACTCGACAGTTCAACCACAATCCTCACCACAAAGATTGCTGCTGATATTAATATCGATGAGGAAGCAAAAGAATGGAAGAAGGAGTTTGGAGAGGAGGACGGCCAGCTGGTAGAGAGTTATGTGCGAGCTGCGATGCCGGACTATAAGTTCTTAAAATCCAAGAGGCTCAGGGCATGATGACAGGTCAGGCGTGACGGCTATAACTGATGGAGAATTTAGCTGGCTAACCAATGCGTTGGCCGACCATATCGAATTGTCATTATGATGTTACTTTCCTCGAAGATGATGCTGGAGTTTTTTCTGATCAGGTTGAAGTGTCCCCAGGTGTCCCCTTGGATGTGTGTGTTCTAATGGGGAGGGATTTAACTGACACCAAGATTTTCTGGCAGAAAATTTGACCTCTGATTAGGGAACTCTGACCAATGATGAGCTGTAACTAACGTAATTCTCAACTGGGAGGGACACCAAATTTATAGCATATTATAGCATATTTATAGAGAATTTAGTGTCAATTGCAATTATTAACCACAAATACCATTATTAATATAATCCACCCTCGAGCGAAACCAACTAAAAATATACAACTAACCAGTAAAATGTAGCCTGAAATATCTACATTCAATAACCACTGATTATATTAAATTAAATAACCCTATAGTTGATATCTTCTTCTTATGTGTCTTAGCATATTGCAATTGTCGCATCTCTGTGATGCCTGTACATGTGATCTAGTCTCTGCTGCCAAATATGTGAAAAATTAAACAAAGAGGTGTTCAGCAGATTGAGCAGGTAACTAGAATAGCAAATGAAATAGCAGGCTTATCAGTTTCTTCTCTACTTAGCCCACTTTCAGAATGAACTTGAAGATATGTCGTTCCTCCATTTCAATCCAAACGCCACGGCACCGGGCACAAAATTTCAGCGGACGCCGGTTTCCTATACCCAGCAACCTGCGATCGGAAAGCGAACAGATAAGAATGACAGGCCAGTCAACCAGGAGCCACATAAGATACTTTGAGAGTCAAGTAACTAGCTCAAACGTGAAAGGCAACAGACCGGAACCAGAACCTAGATTCGCGTATTGATGCAGGCGACAATCATTGGGCTTCGCTGCATAGTCTCTTCTATGACGACGATTCCAACCTGTCGGATACATCGATGTCCATAGCTACAAATAAACGATCCCCCGACTATGAAGATGATGAGGAGAGCGACACCAGTCTTACCCCACAGGGTAGCTCCTCCAGTGACAGCGACAGTTGTGTATCAAGTCAAGCAAAGATATGCTGGATTACAAAAGAGGTGACGTGGGGTCTGAACCTCGAGCCCCGAGTGTGTGTTGGAGAAAGCAAAGGTACGTCCCTTACCCCTTCGATTTCCTTAGTTCCTGCCATCCACTCCTCTATTCTCGCGTGGGTTCTTACGAATGTTAGACACATCCATCGCCATTGATGGTGGTGTCCGGGATCCGAGCGACGATGTAGGATCCCGATTTCCCAAACCGCGCCAAGTATATGCAGCTTGGCACCCAGTGTCGGAGTGATGACGAGTTCGACTCTGACGGTCGGACCCCACCAATGCTGATTAAAGATGGCGGAGTGACAACGGAGGAGTGGATGGTTGATGAAATCCTCAAATCAATGTTGGTGGAGGATAATGACCAAAGGATGCGGTGGTATTCGGTGGAGTGAAGGGGCTACGACCCTTCTTGGCAGCCTGAACATGATCTGATCCCTGGATGTGGGGAGTTGGTTCCACGAGTTCCACGCCGAAAACGGGGAAGATAGAGAGTCATAGACCCCTTAAGCGGCGAGGGAGACCACCCTTGAGGAACCGCTCCAAGAAGGCGCGGTTTACATTTTCCTGTATTGATTCAACTTGTTCCCGTCTCATCTTTGCATTGGATAAATGTCTTATGATACTCCATTGTTGCCCTTCTGTCCAAATGATATGAGGAATCTTTCCTCACTTGCTATGTAAATAATCCATTCTTCATTGTGAAAGTGTGAAGGCCACTGCGCATAGATTTGACACCGTCATCAAATTACAAGAAGGGCCACGATGCGCCATGGGAAGTGGCCAATCCAAGGAACAAGAACCAAACTTTATCAACAGCCTGTTTTAGGAAATCACCTGTCCGGCGATGGTCATTTAGTTCCCTTTCACCCGCCGTCGTTTGCGCATATCTCGCACCCTCGCGCGTTTCTCCAGGACGTCCAGTTTATCAGTATGTGCCACCCCGCCAGCTTCTGACGCAAGTACTTTGCTCAGTGAACAGGCACTAGGTTGCCATCCATTTCAAAACTGTGCGTCAACGGACTGTTTCAAGTAGTGAGAATCGTAGCCCTGTCAATTAATAACCCCCCCAATGCTATATATCCCGTTTTATATCGTCGACCGAAATCTAAATTTTTTCAACGCAATTTTCCATCATATGTCAATAAAGAGTTCTTTTGTAGCCTCCAGCGCTATGGGCCAGCACTTAATGCGAAGCTCATTCACCCCGATCCTTTTACGTCTCCGCCGACCGCCATTAGGGATGAGCCCCCAATTCCACCTGAGTTTTGCGGACTTAGTTCTGCCTTGCGTGAGGCGTGGCCTGCGTGCGGGATTCGAGCAACTGGCCCAAGGACTCCCGATTCGACGGCTCCTCAATGGCCGGTTCCCAAAACTTAGCTGATCGACGAGAATATAAGTAGGCTTTGGCCCAAGTGAATTTCTCTATGGATCAGCACTGCGCGCGACATGGGTTTGTACTCAGAAATGCCGAGTTTGTTGCTCTCAAGCGGCTCGATGAAAACGACCATTCTAGCCCTTGCTGATGTAATTCCGTGGACGGATAGTTAGTGGTGTCGGTCGGCCTTCCGTGCTGTTGGGGTTATGGAATCTCGGCATGCTGGCAGCAGAGGACGATAACTGGGTGTTGACTGGTTAGAACCAATTTGGTACTGAGGTAACCAAATTTCGCAATGACGCTCTTCCCTTTTGTTTCCATTATCCCTAATGTTTTGTTTTGTTGTAAATTGAATGTGCATTAGATTTTTCAAAACTAGCGTCCGGTTGATTCGGCTACAGTTACCACTCATGGCCCCGCCACGGGATAATGCCATTGATTGAACGGCTGAGATATCGGGGTTTCTCATTTTCGAGGACGAGATCCGACTTCTGCCCTAAAGGAGAGTTTTCTTGAGCTAGGTGGTTTTCCTTAAATGAAGCCCCTCCATCAACCAGGGGTCAAATACGAGCTCTTCCGCAGTCGGCCTTTGCTCAGGCATCCAGCATAGAATCCTTTGAAGAAACTCCAGAAATCCCTTTTTGGTATCTCCCTCGAGATCGTCTGCAAGCCTTTCGAGGGAGATGTCAGGGATGGGTGCAAAACCTCTCCATTGACCTTGAATGTTTTGTCAACGTTAGCAGAAAATACGAGGTCCGCCACTCCGTAGATTTGAACATGTATTCACATACCGTTCTTATCCCACCATATAGAACTCGTCTCACATCGTTCCAAAAACTCCCTGGGAGGAGGTCCCATGATAGCAACCATCTCTGCAAGGTGGAGTGTATCGTCCAGAAGTCGCTGATCATTCCTGGCTTGGAAGAGGGTACGCCCAGCTACGAGGTCCCAAAACTAATCAAGTAGTAATTGAGGACACGTCAACTAAACCCGCCAACATATAACAAAGGGTAATTGTCACTGACTACCATAGCAATGCTCCAAATATCAACTTTATTGTCCCAATTCATCTTGAGAATAACCTCTGGTGCCCTGTAGACATCTGGCATAACATCCTGTCCTCTGTGATCTTCATCACCGAACCTGGCCTCGCCAAAATCTGTTATAATAGGAAGGCACCGTGTGCGGGGAATCCGCCGGCTCTTGTAAATAACGCGATCGCCGAGGACCTTTCTCGGCGCGGGGTGTTTCAACTCAGCCTCTTCGAATACCGAGAACACATTAGGATCGTCAATCTCAAGAAGCATGTTTCTGGATTGGAGATCTGTATGCACAATGTTGGCTGAATGTAGGAAGTCAAGCCCCCCCAGGATCTGTCGTAACGGAGGTTTTAAAAGTTGTATAGCCAGAGTCCCGGCAGGCCGAAGGTCGAGCATCTGTTCCAGACTCAATCCCAATGGTTGTTGAACAAGGCACACGTGAGTGCCATCTGGGCCAATCACTTCGAATGAGTCGTATAGTTGTCGAAAGAGCTTTTTGCCGGGATGGCCAGATCGAGATTGAACGGAATTGAGATGACTGTAGATTCTAATCTCATGGTTCGGCTTTGAGGAGGAAACACAAAGCTTCAGTACGACATGTCAAGGCTCACTGGTTAACGAAAGTGAAGTTAGCATATTAGACTTATTCTGGACTGCAACAACATGATAAATAAATGTACGCACTGTAGATCACGACAGAGCCATACTGTCGATGTCACTCCGTATCCTAGTTCCCAAACAATCTGATACCTGTCGTTGAAAATTTTGCCTATTCGAGCCGGGTAATACTTCTCTGCCTTATACGTCGGCAGGGTTTCTTCCTCAATACTTTCAGAGGCATCAGTCAAGTCAAATCCAGAGCTTGGAAATGTGAGGGGAGACATTAGTTGGGAGAACGTCATTCTCTGAGTTCCATTAAATCGTTGCAAATAGTGCGGTAACGTAATCCACCACCCAACGCCCGTTTACACCCAACGCCCGCCATTTCGCCATCAATATGATGAAATATTTTTAATGTTATTTCAACAACGCAATTAGATTTTAAGATGATATATTATAGGATGAAAATATATATAGAAAATTACATATAAAAATATATAGCTAATTCAGTAAACATTTGTTTGGCTTAATAACTCGCCCAGAACATGAAATCTTGGGTGGAGGCAGATTCAGTGAGCAAGCAGTCATTAAACCAGTAGAGATTGCAATATCATCATATCCCTCTGGCAGTGGATCTGTGGGCACCCTGGCAGGGCTCTGAAAACGCGATTTAGCCACTCTTTGCGAAATCGAGGGTCTACTTTCCCGATTAGTAAGGTGATTTTTGAATTCTTCAATCATCTTCTTATTCAATCATGATTGTAGCCGTACGGCAGCTCGTTCTTCCTTTTCTTTTTGCTTCTGAGCCTTTTTCTCATCTCTAAGCTCCTTGTCAATCTGCCGTTGAGCAGCTCTTGCGGCCTTATCCATTTCCTTTTGCTGTTTTGTGGCCTGGCGAGCTGCCTCCCGCTCCATCCTCTGCTGGATGATATCTGCCTCCTTCTGTTCCTTAAGAATAGTGCGTTGCAGCTTTGCATCCTCCTTGCGAGCTTGCTCATCCTTTTTGGCAACCTCTGAGGCCGCCAAATTCTCGCGGATGCTCTGCACCTTTGCCAGCGAGAAGAACTGCGCCAATGATGGATTCAAGGGATCTAGCAACTCCATTGCCCTGCCACGCTTGCGACATCTCCTCTCTTGATTAAGAGCTTTTTGAAGCTGCCGATTCTCTATTAAAAGAACCTCTTTATCAAGAGCAAGATTTTCCCCTGCACGGATCACCCAGTTGAGATCATTAGATATTTGATGCTGCTGTTGCTTGACTTGCTTCACCAATTTCCGCAGGCCAACAATAGAAGTAGGTGTTCTTGGTTGATATCTTGCGTCGGGGGGGGTGCAAGGTCGTATTTGAAGCTTTTTAAGAATGTGTTCCGGATTGAATGGATGTAGGCCAGTAGCAGCAAATGCAGCTTCAATATTTGAAGATGTAACTGCCTCCTTCCACGCAGTGTCAAAAAGCTGCCAAAAAGACCTCTTTGTAGTGCGTATGAATCCCATTCCAGTTCTCATTTGTTCATTCAGTTGTTTGGAATATGATTTACCCAATGGTCCAAATATCCCAACATCTAGTGGCTGTAATCAGTGTGTAGAATGGGGAGGAAAGACAGCAAGTAGAATTCGATTCCAATCTGCGTAATTGATGAATGCCATATTAACATGGGATGAGTGGCCATTCAATATAAGAAGTCTATATCTGCGGCCTGCCTTCTTTTTTGTAAGAGGTTCAAAGATCTTCTTTAACCATGTTAACCCATATTCATAATTGCTCCACCCATTTTCTGAAGCAGTGAAGTAGGCATGATCCTTTTCACTATCAAAATCTTCGAGCCAAGTATCTTGCATATCTCTTGATTCCCCTTGATATATGAGAGCAGGTGGGAGCGAAGTTCCATCTGCGCAAATTGAGGCAAGTAGTGTTATGAATTCTCGACTGCCATCCTGGCTGGCACCTATCATACGGCCCGATTTGAGCGAATTAATCGATACAATACGTTTGAGGGTGTGAATGAATCCTAATAGGAATCCTTTCTCATCAAAGTTGTAGATATTCGCAGGTTCAAGGTTGTATTTCGTGATTTTTGCCTGCAGCTGAAAAATTAAGATAAATTAGCAAGATGAGAATTAAAAAAGCAGTATAAGAAAGAAATCTATTACAAGATCAAAATAATGCTTGAAGTATACAGAATTGTCTGCAATCTTGTGTTTTTGATCAATATTTCACAGATAGAGTGACTTGATCACATCCTTGTGGCGCTTGCAGAACTGAGCCACCCAGTTGACTTCAATAGGTGCTTTTAGAATATCAACAACGAGATTATGAAGGATTTGGGGCGTACAAGGGAAACCGCGATCTGCCAATCAATTGATATGAAAAAGGAGCTGTTTTTCTTGCGAATCAGTGAGAGCTTTGCAGTGGATAGAGCTTGCTTCCTTTCTTGACATTTGAACGCCTCTATAACGCCTTGACAACATATATCGGCTGATTCCATATTTTTTAGCGGTCTCAGTGTAATTAGGCGTTAATTGCGCGTTCAAATCATCAATCGCGGCTTGTATAACTGCTTCGTGGTGCATGTTGTGGGTGGTTAAAGATGAATGAAAAATGAAGATTTGAACGGGCGTTGGGTGTAAACGGGCGTTGGGTGGTTGATTACGTTACGGCAGAACGTAAAGACAGAAAAGGTCGGCTTCTGGAGGATGCGGACCGCACATAAAGATAAGCAAGAGACAATTTAGCAGTCATGTCACAAACAAGATTCTAAATCATGCTTTTGAAGAACTGAAAGTTCTGTTGTGCTTCTTTCTGTTAGGTAGAAATAGTTACTTCTGCCCAGCCGTTTTAGCCAGAGCTCAAGCACCCAAAACCTTAAAAAACCCATAACTATCTGTGATAGAATCTCTTCTCCAAAACGCTGCAGCCAATTCGTGCAAGCTCGGCGGCGGTGGAAGAAACAACTTAAAAGGGCGGCGCTTACCGTTGAATACGCTTTCTGGTGAATGGGATGGCATGACCCGAAGGCTTTTGGGCAAAGGATCTGTTGCACAAGCAGGCCTATACGCAACCAACACTCCGCTGCGCTAAACTCTTTCTCTTCCGTCAGAGGACTGAATAAACCACAATTTTCGGTGATAGTTCTTTGATATAACTATACATGTACCGAGAGTCATTTCCATTTACAAAGCTCCGGTTTTTTGAGAAGCAATCCACCCGCAAAGATGAACCGCGTCGCCACGAGGGGATTGATTCCATGCTACGGCCCAGAGGGTTCTATAGATGTTATTGTGAGTTCTATAGTTTAGTTCGCGAAACCCGTGTCACTTTCAACTCTGTTGAATTGTTTTCCATAGCCTAATGCCAAGACGCCCTAAACCAAATATAGGGAAATCCAGATTAACTCTGTGGTTCTGGGGTTATGTGACGAATGTCCAAACTGCAGTACAAAGCTTATTGAGAACAAGAACCGGGAATAAGCTCCAACCTGGCGCTATGACGTCATCGAAAGAGAGTTCTCCTGAATGAAATGTAGTTACATATCCTCCAGGGAAAAGGAGCCTTGAGCACCGATGAAAACATACGCAGAGAAATATGTCGGTAGCGAAACCAATCGCCTCACGAGAAAGCCATTCTGCATCTTTTCAATACATTTGTAGTAACAGCAGACCTCAACACAACCCCTTCCCTTCCCCCCCCTCCCTCCCCATAGAACAAACAGGCATGCCGGCTGCAGATTAGCCCTGGAGCCCTCATGGCTCCGGGATGATCGTCTTTATTTTGCCCACGGATAGAAAGTGTCCGTGAAAAGTCGCATCTGTCACACAAAGTTTTGCTCTTCGGCTGGATTCGAAGTGCAATTGACTTTGCTGTTCAGAGATTTATTTAGTCGAATTTCTCAAATTCGGGCGTGATATCCATACAATGTACCATTCGTAGCTCGGTGAGCACGGTGAACTTCGTGCTCTACTCTCGCAAAGTCTGGATCACTGAGCATATCTTTTTCAATATCCAGAACAATATGAAATGACCTCTGTTTCATCTCAGGGGGTTGAAGAGGTTCAATATATGAGTGATAGATTCTTTGTGTGAGTTCATTGACAGAGTATTCAGCAGATACTATATCATTATGATAGCATAGTCTAACTCTGTTGAGTTACAATCATCAGATTCATTCCCATAAAGTCATAAAATGATGTGTTTAGAATGTTTGAGAAAACTGTTGAAAGTTAACATAGCATCTGCTGCTGATTCTTCAGATATCTCCGTCATAATATCATTTGACTAAGATGTAGTTAAGATAAGAATGAACTTTTTAGCCTTTTCAATGTAATCAATCATCTATTAGATCATATCATCATATCATCTACTGAATCACTTTCATTCAAATCATTTATGCTCATTAAAAAAATTCAAGTATGTCAAACTACTCTTACTAAAAAGACTTCTAATCAGAAAGCCAGGTCTTTATTAGTCATTAAAGCTTATAAAGCTCAGCAAATTAAAACTAACTAACTATTAAGTTATTTCTAAGTTATATGATGTTCTTCTCTATTTCTTTCTGGCTGTTATGATGCAAGTGCGATGCCAAGACTGATACTGCTTACTAAAGCACCTTATGAAGCAGATGAAGGATCAGTGCTTTACACACTTAGAATCAGCGCTTTATGCATTTCAGGATCAGTGCTTTACATCACTAATTTCTCATTTCATGGAAGAGTACTATGTCATCAATTCTTCATTTTCTGAAAGATTATAGATGAAATCTATTACTACTAACTAAAGAATAGAATCAATACTATATTATTTATTTTATAAAAGATTAAAGATGAAATCTATCAATACTTAATTCATATATATAAATACTTTAAATTTTTAAATTTTTTTAAAAGATTCAGTGATTAACTACTATTCAATTCTATATTTATATTTTCATTTATTGCTATTTTTTTTTCTTTATAGTGCTAATAGTAGTTATATTTTTACTTTTTTATAATATTAGTTATAATGTTTTTCATATTTTCTTTTGACATTTAATTCAATCATATCAAGTATTTTCATAGTTTTTAATCATTTAAAGAGAGGTTCTCTGTTAAATATATAATAATAAGTTTAAAATATAATCTATAAAGTAATATCTTACATATGATATGTATTGAAGAAGTATATATATAAGAAACTCTCTATGAATAATCATCAAGTTTAACTTTAAAAAGAAATACTAAGCATCTTATGCAGCAGTTGATAAAGAAATTCAGATAGTTTAATAAGAATAAATATAGCTGAAGATATATAAAAAACTTCTTAAACTAT